GGCGATCGACTCGCCGCGTCAGCAAGCGGTTCGCGGAGTGCGCGCGCCCAGGTGTAAGTGGTTTTGTCCGTCTACCGCCTTTCCGCTTCTTTCCTCCCTGCTTCTTCACAACTTTTTCGTTTCTTCTTCTCGTCTCGAGCGGTTGTGATCTTGTATCGATTTCGTTCGTTCGCTCTCTTATTATTATCGCGTTATCGTTCTCGATAACTCATCCCTTGTTCCCGATTTTTTCTCGCCGCTAAGGAATGATAATTTGATTCGTTAACTTATCGATGAACTTAATCGAACAATGTATATATATATATATATATATGTATAATTTTTATTTTTATCGTCGATATAGGTGTTTGACGTTGGACGGCAGGGAAGCACGGGTTTGTACGGGAAGCTTGGATAAATTGGCACATTACTCGATGATGCTGAAGGGTGAAATATTGCTGCTTCTTCACGTATTCTGCGATATCGGTAAATTTAAATCTCGTGGTTTATTACGGTTTTCGAGCACGCTTGAAAAAAATTTTGGAACAGTCGAAAGTGTGTCGTCCGCATGATAAAGGATTGCTGACGATAAAGAAAAAAAAAAAAGAAAAATTGGTGATTTCAGCATTGGCAGCACAATGCGGAAAAGTATGGCTGACAGTCTCCTCGCTGTGGAGACCAATCGCTGCCAGCGACAAGGTGGTCGACGCTGAGCTCGAAGTAAATTGGGACCTCGATTGTCCATCGAGTACTGGATACCCAGATACCATCAAGGTGTTCACTGCTGACCCAGCACATAGTAATAAGTTTTGTTTGCTTCTATTGAACGTCGTAACTAAATATTCAAGGCTTAGAATTACATTTCGAATAATCCATCTATCACTTTTTTCTGTTTCTTTCTTTTATTTTAATTTAAGCGCGTTCCGATGATAATTACTTTTGCTTGACGCATTCGAGCGAATAAAAACGTATATATATATATTTTCAATCTCATCGAGTAATTTATTCGAAAGTAATTTATATCGATATAGGCCGACGGAACCATTGACATCTCGTTTTCAGATAAAACGGTCAAGCCCAAGTTGACTTTGACTTCGCTGCAATACCCACGGGGTTACTATCGAACGAACATCACCGTTGGACGTCCACCGCTTCCGGGTGGATGGGACACCAAGGATGGCGCGACGCTTCCGGGTCCGCATTGCCTGAAGCACCACGCCGCCCTTTACAAGGATGGAGTGATCCTTACCAGCTCCTGTTTACAGATCTGGCCAACATGGATGTACGACTTGAGGTAATTAGATTTTTTAATGGAAAAAAATTATTTCTCGCCTGAAAACATTCGTCTCAATTTCCATTCGAATTCCAAAACTGATCGTCGAAATGATTTCTTCTCAGGAGACAATTAGGAAGACTTCCTATAGGGAGTTTAATGATCCCGGGCACGCATAATTCCGGATGTTACAAGCACGGCGACCTGACGAGACGAGACGCGTTTCAAAGGTACCTGTTGACGCAGGATCGCGACGTGTGGACGCAATTAGTGCACGGCATAAGGTATCTCGACGTCAGAGTCGGTTATTACCCGTCAATTCCCAACGGCACGGCCATCGAGGAGGGCAATCACATAAGCAGATTCTGGATCAATCATGATGTCATCCGGATCACCCCCCTCTCGGCCATCATCAAAGACGTGAGAAACTTTCTGAACGTCGCTAGGGGAGAGGTGGTCATCATGGACTTTCATAGGTAAATTGGCATACGTGGCGGCATAATGCAACACCGCCGATTCGGATGGATCGATAATGCTGGGAGAACGATTCGATGCTTGTGATGCAAATTGATTTCAAATTGCTATGAAATTGAGCGCGGTGGTCTACGTT